TATTGTTATGATTCGGTTACCGCTCACACGGCCGTGGAAATGTACTGATTGGCTCAAGCTGGAGTTGAGTGAGCTAGTAAAGTTTTGGCAGGCGGAGGAAAACCTCAATCGTTTTCAATGGACATAAACATCACTGCTGCTCTGCCTTCAGAGTAGTGATTTCCTCCGCTAACTGATCGTTTGAATAACGGCTACACATTTGGTCCGCGAAATGATACAACTGAAAGGAGATAAAAACATGCTCTCCCTTATTATGCCTTGCAAGTAAACATTTTGACGGCGTAATTGTGCGATCCATTGTTTTTAATGGGATTTGTGTAGTCCCGTCTGTTAACATAAGGACTGAATTGTTTGGCCATCATCCACACACATACGTAGCGAGTTTGGCTTGGCTTTATGGCGCTGAATAGGCCATGGTAGCTGAGGCTTTATACTAGGCAGGGGGAGGAGACGGAGTCGGCGGTTAGCAGCATGAAGCGGTGTGGATTTTATGCCGCCTGGCTGCCTTCATGCTAGCCTAGCGTGGCTGTGTGCTAGTCTACCGTGACATATAGCTCGGGTCTAAATGTGCCCTCAACACTTGTGGCAGACCTCTTTGTAACTCTAGAATATCAAAACCATGCGGTTCGCCCACTGGCCCAATGTGTAAGAGAAAATGTCCCCTTTTGATTTCAAGTTCAGCACCTGCAACCATTTACAACCAGGTGGTCCCTCAGTGTCCTCAAGCGGTACACTGAGCCGCTCAGTCACAAGCTGCACAGGATAGCAGTGTACCTGCATGCTGAAAGCTCGCTGGCCCACTGTTTACGGACTTTCATATTGATTTAATTGCATATATTGTCATTGCTAAATGTCACAATATATGATATGTACTTAACCCTAACATTGAATTGAAACATTCTGTGCTTGTGTTGTCAAAAATTAGGTCATGAAACAATTTTCCAGGCATCAAATTCACAATATGAATATCTTTACAATAGGTTCACAGGTTGAAACAACTTATTGAATTATAACTGTCACGTCATAAACACCTGAGATAATTTATTCAATAGCTGTTAAAAACAAAAAACACCATTTTGATGAGACAAACAATGTGTAGAATATAATAGAAACAAAATAATTATAAAACACTGGGGCGATGCAAAATTAATTTGATCAAAGAGAGAAGTAAGTAACTTGTAACACAAAAAACTATTTGTCTTAATTTAGGTAATCATTTGGGGAATTTTCTTGGTGATACGTATTTGTTCAACTTTTTATTTTTTTACCCTGTTCTTGTGTCTCCCCTTAAGGCTCTTGCACAATAATCCAAAGGAATAATAACTGTCACACATCAGATCCCTGATATCGAGGAGAGATTAGCTGTTTTCCCTGAGGAGTCGGACACAAATCAAACGTCTCAGTTCCCACAGAGTCTGTATCTGTGCATTAGACCATTACAGTGACGTTGTTGAAATGGCTGCTTATAGAGTTACTTTGCATTTCTGTCATGTTGTGCGAGGGTTTGCCTTTTATCTTCTTATGAGCCCATTACGTCCACACAGTTTATAGAAAATGGTAATTTCAACGTCCTTTGGACATCTCTATGGAAGCCCATTTCCGTAATCCAAAAAAACTAAATATTACAAAAAAAACGAATTATGAGATATAAAGTTGAAATTATTTATATCTCATGATTTCGATTTCTCAGAATGGATTTTTTTTTTTTTTGATGGCGGACCCGGGCTTCCATACATCTCTGCTCATAACCTTCCCATCCCTGTAGTTTTAAATGAAACAAGATCGCTTGAACTCAGTGTTCTGTCTTTCAGGTGCAATGATGATGCACGTCTGTCTCCAAGGTTACCCCACCTCAATAAACAAAAACAAAACAAAAACTTGCTCCCTGTTTTGAGATATCTTGCTTGTGTTCTTAGAGCATGTCAGAGCGGTGACATACGGATTGTAGTTGTGGTGAAATTCATTCAACAGCCTGTAACACACTGCACGCATTTCTCAGCTGGAATGAAAACAGAGAGACTTGATTTCGGATGTTCACGGCGGTGTAATGCACTGGGTTAAGAAAGGAAAAAATCCCCTTTCTTCACCACTTCTCTTTCTCTACCTTGTACTCCATTTCTCATTCAGCTGAGAGATTTATTGCGTCTGTCATCTCCTGCCATCACTGCACCAACATCAGGTCAAAGTACTGCATTGGTTGTTCAGAGCTTGTTGACGTGAGATGAGTAGAAAGCGATTAGAACTGGAAAGAAAATAGCACGACAGTGATTCGCTCCCATGTCCTCCTCCCTGTAGATTTGATTTAATAGCTCAAATAACCAAACACACGGTGTGTTTGGAGTGAGTGTGTGAGTCTCTTAACTATAAATGGCTTATCAATTTTAATCAGTCCACATGTGGTTTTCAGATGTTCCATTTCTGCCAGGCAACACACACACACACACACACAGACACACACACACACACACACCTCACGTTCAGTGTGCCAGGGGTGTCAAACCAAGTCATAAATCATTGGTGGATCAGTCTTTCCATCTGTCCTTGTGTTTTTCTCTTTTGGCTATTTCTCTCAGCTACATTTCAAGCTGATGTAAAATAATACAACATTATTAAATATTGTGAAAAATTACTTTCAAAGATTTTATGGAACGTTTAAAAACAGTATCCAGTACTACAAAGGTTATGTATACATATGAAATGAGTTTCCACATCAAGTTCACTAACGTTCTCTATTCATTTACTTCCAATTATACAAGTACAACATGTTCTACTTACATTTAGTAATAGTGGCTGTAACTCCAGCATCCCCCTGCAGTGTCTGTCTCTCTCTGCAGGCCGTCTCGCTCTCTTCCTGGCCTGTAAAAAGAAAAGCAGGATTCATCAGGGTGGTAACAAAAGACAGGTGCACTTTGATTCCTTTTTGAAAGCTCTCTCATCTCACCACAGTTAGAAAACGGAGGCATTCTCACTATACATGGTAAAACACAAGACCTACATCAGATACTGTTTTCAGACTGAGAGCATTTGCTTCTGTATGGCAGATAGACCAGATCTCCAGTGGAACGATTCGGAATACTCCACGGACCAAGCCTGCAATCAATCAAGCAACAATCAAATGTTCGATTCGATCCTTATCGCTGACAACCCAAGGAAGTGCAGTGTCGAGTGTGAGCTCCTTTTTATCAATTAGAGGGAGTTATTTATTAATAGTGCGCTATGTACATGCTAGTGTACTGAGAGAGGACCCCTATTAATTGGCACAGCTCGCTCTCCGTCAATGTTCGTGTGTGCTTTTGCACCTAAAGGACGTGTATACTGTACTCATTGCAGCGCGAATGCTCTTGCATTGCTGGGAGATGCAACTACGTCATGGTGGCTGTGTTGCTCAGGGCCCAAGGAAGCTCATTGTGGAGTGTGAAGTTGTTTGGATGAGCGGCACTACGGGATGTCATGCAATCGGCCCGTTCCGATCAGGCACTACTACAATCAATCATTCATGTTTCTGTATGCAGTATTTGTAGACTGTGATTGTTGACCTGCTCTATCGGCCTCTGCAAAGTACCCGTTCAGGACCACAACGTCCCCCGTGTGGAAGCCTAAATTCAGAGTAACGATAGTAGCTCTTTCCTACTCTTTATTTGGTTTAATGGAGGTACAAACACTAAAGCATCTGACCCGCCGTCTTTCTTGTCCGAGTATATGTTTCTGTAGTAAACATCCAAACCATTCAATGGTTACGTTAGAACAAGTAACATTTAGATTGCTAAACTATGCTAACTAGCCCTAACTACCGTGTATTACATGATATTGTCAGATACTGAAAATGCTGACTTTTTGCTTGCAACATGTAGCTTCAGCCTGAGCGTTAGTCTTTTAGCGTGATATCATATATGCAGAAATGAGAAGCCTGCTTTTGTTTACTTCTGTGTGCTAGAAGGGAGAGCTCGACAGGCTTAGCTTCGGCTTAACTTTTAATACAGTTGTTCATCATCATTTCAGAAACATAATTTGCTGTGCTCTGCTGAATTAATACTCGTTTGGACAGCTTTATGTCTTTACTTTTGTTTTTAAAATAGCCAAGTCATTGCTGAGATCTTTAAAGTTTTATGTCCAGCTCTCAGAGAGCAGATGCAGCACACGGGCATACAAGTTAATCTCCTTCAGAGTGTTTATATGAGGTCAGCTCGTCTGCACTAAATGCTTAATAAGCACATTAAGAGGCATAAACACAGTTTGTGTATTGTCTTTGTGCTGCGGCCGAGTCGGAGTTGAATCGTTCCAGCTTTTGCCGACGTGCTAACGTAGTCTGATGGAACATGTCGGAGGAGGAGGAGGCGGTGCAGATGGATGAATGATGCTCTTGTTGCTGTGATCAAAGACCGATGACACAGCTCAGTGTCACTTTATTTATTTCTCTCTTTGGTTTTTGTTTTTGTTCTCTCTCTCTTCCTTCCTGTCTCGCTAAGATGACAGGATACGTGTGTGTGTGTGTGTGTGTGTGTGTGTGTGTGTGTGTCTGTGTCTGCAGTGTGTCTCTCAAATGAGTGAGAGTATACATGTGTGTTTTAGTTTTTTTCTGTATGTGTGGTCTGACTGTGTCATATGCCCGTTGCCTTGGCACTGCCGTTGATTTCCTCCCGCTGTAACTTCCTGCCTAAACCGGTTATGTGTTTTGTGGCAACACTTGCACTCCAACCATCACTTCAGAGCCCCCCACCCTCTGTTCCTCCTTTCAAGTTTGCTCCATCTATCTATCTATCCATCCATCCATCCATCTATCCATTCAGGACTGCCAGACCACAGCCTGTCTCATTCATTAATCATCAGCAGTGAGAAGGATCAAGGGAGCAGTCAGATGAGAAAGAGGAAACAGAGAAAGGTGGCACGAATGACAAGAGCAGGAGATTAGAGGTTAAAGATGAAACTTGAACCTCCAGAAAATCAGAAAAAAAAGGAAAGCTGAGATAATCCTGATGATTAAAACTCTACTTGTTTTTCAGATCCCGTTCTCTCTGGTGCAGTTTCCACTTTGGGAATACTTAAAGGTACGTATCAGACTCTTTCATAAATGTGTCTAACTGACTCTAGTCCCTCTCTTTCTTTACTATCCATCTGCTTCATCCCTCCACTCTCCACCATTGCTCTGTACCATCATTTACAGTAATTATTCTCAGTAATAAATCCGTAGTAAAGTTCTAATAGTGTGCTTACGCTCTGACACATTTACAGCAGGCTCACCCTCTGCGTTCCCCTGTATCATTGTGGCTGGCCAAAATGAGACTTTACGCCCCACTTTAATGGGTTGTCATGACTATCATCAAACCAGCCTTTAATTTATCACGAAAATATCCTGCATATCTGTCTCGTTCTAGCTTTTTTTTTTTTTAATCTTTATTTTTATGTCTCTTCCTCTCTCTTTTGATAGCCTTTCTCTCTCTCATGTGCCTCTCCTCTCTCCTTGCCCCCTCTCTCCTTTTCACTGTGTGGCCCTAATCACATAAAAAGGCTGTTTCTCTTTGAAAAGACATTTCGTTGGAGTGACATCATGTCTCAAGGGCGCGAGAGGCGGACAGTCAAACATTCCATCAATGTTAGGAGCAAACGGCCGAGCTAAGACGAACAATACACTTCACAGCTGTGTGTATGTATGTGTGTGTGTGTGTGTGTGTGTGTGTGTGTGTGTGTGTGTGTGCGCCTGTGCATTTGTGAGAGTTAGACTTGGTCGTTCACAAGTGTCTCTTTGTCCCTCGGTCAAAGGCCCTCTCTCTCTCCAGGCCATCTGGACACGTCCGTTGGCGGAGAGCTGAACTGCTGGAATCTGGACCTCTCTTCCCCTCTCCTCTTTCTCCTTGCCCTCTTCTCCATTGGCTCCCTACTCCCAGTCCTCCCACGTGTATCCTCTGCACTAACATGGTGCTGTGTATAGCTAATGAGGCATTTCCTCGGTCACAATAGCAGCGACTGGCCGACTAGTCGAGCGAGGAGAAGTAAAAACAACTTCCTGCAACAATAACTGATTTTTACTGCCATTCCTTTCAGAGCGACCACCAAGATGTTGAGAGGCTTTCACTGTCAAGAATAACGTGATTTAGCTTTCAAAATGCCAGCGAGAAGGAATCTTGAGAGTGCACGTGTGTGCGGCAAGATCTCCCATCTTCTCTGTGGCATAGTAATGTGCTGCGTTATGGCCTTTTTATTTTTATTTCACGCTGAGCCAGCACAGCTGTCAGTGAGAATCAGAGAGAGGGAAAAGGGAGAAAAAAACGACAACCAATTGCAACGGGTCTGTTGGAAGAGGAGTAAGAAATCCTTTCGTAGAGTGCATTAAGTTCAACTCGTCCGAGATGGTCTGTCATATCATGGAGAGGCTTATCCAGGCAGGAACATCATATAATTCACGAGGCAAGTCCCACAATATAAACAAATGTTACACATTGGTCACTGCAAAGAGATTTGTATTTTCTCACCAGACTTATGTGCATAGTTCTCACTGTTCTTTCAGACATTAATTCCTCAATATTGTGGTTTTGTTGTTTTTCCCAACAGCAGTTTACCCCATCTGTTGCGACCTCAACAACAACATTAGCAAAACAGGAGGGTGTAACACTTTTAGGTTATGACTTGAACACCAAGCGAGAGCCGCAGAAAATTCAAGGAATTTTGTGTCAAAGGCACGATGGGAACTCCAATTTAACCAATGAGATGCGCTTACAAGTGGCGTCTCACTACACATACGCGATGCACCGACACACTCGCGTGCTGGACCGACCGGCTCTTTCCTGTGGGAAGTCGTCCAGGTGCAAACTGGCCCTGACACAAGGGTTCAGAGGTCAGAAAGTTTGTTTTCCCAGGTTTACCCCTTATTATTTATTCATGAGAGACTCGGAGAGGGAGAGAGACGGAGAGGAATCCCCCAGCGCGAGGCCTTTGATGTGGAAAACAAAATCTCCTTTTTAATCTATCCTCTAATGGAATACACATGACACATCCTGAGCTCGTTCACGCTGCCTGCCGGTTCTTCTCCTTTCTGTGTTTTTAGTTTTTTTTTCTGGTGCGTTTACTTGTTTGTGTTTGCATGTGCTGTGCAAGCATACAGGGTTTTTTGTGATGTCCACATGTGTGAGAGATAGGAAGAGAAGGAGATAACATGCCACCGATTAAACTCCCGGCGGGGGGGCAAAGAAAGTATTAGTAATCGCTCCATGCTGTTGCTCAATTGCTCTCCCTGAGAAGTAATCATACCTCGCAACGCCCGAGGCAGCCGAGCTGTCCACATGCATTTTATACAAAGACTAACCTTGTGTCTCCGCACCGCTTTGCTGAAACTAGTCGGGGGAGGAAGAGGGACCAAAGAGCTCCTCCGCAAAACAAAAACAAAAACATCAGGTGGTTTCAGTCAGTAGCCGGTTGCATTTGGGCAAGCAGTCCTGTGATGCGAGCGTTTTTTTTAGACACACAAAGGCTTTTTAAATGCACTTGAACTTTAATGTCACTTTTATTGACAAAATCCTAATAAACTGGCAACCTTCTGTTTAGCAGGTCTACCACTCTATCAGACCGGATGCATGGGAATTTCATTAACCACCCTCCACTTCTCAAGTTGTCAATATAAAGGCTTTGAGCCTAACAGAGAAGTTGACCTGGAGGCACAGATAGTTTCAAGATAATAGTTTTATATGTGAGTTACTGCCACTTCTAGCTGTCGTTCTCCAGGAACACAATTGCATTCATCATTACTCTACTAAACATGCGTAACAGTATGCTGAAGGAAAGGAGAAGGAAACACCAGTTGCTCCGCTCCCGAGTTTGTATTGTTGCAGTTTTGCAGCTTTTTCTTTCTATGGGGTGTTCAAGTGGCCCCACTTGGACAGGACGACCTGGCCAGTGGCCCCAATGTAATTTGAGTTTGACACCCCTGTGTATGTTTTTACGGCTCTACCAACAAAAGTAGTTGAGCTAAATGTTAACAAAAATAAGAGATTGTGCTGATAATGTGATGTGTGAATGTGCGTAGACACTCTGTACTTCAACGCGATGGCATCTGGACAAAATGTGTAAAGATGACGGAGTGGGGCCGCTGCAACATATATTCTCATGCCTCCCTCTTGTCCCGTCCCGCGTCTTGGGAAACGAGTAGCATGACATCACTGGGGAGAAAAGGCTACACAAAAATAGCCGGACAGCCCGGTTCCCAGCTGCGGGCCCCGGACCCCAGAGCAGACCAAGGTTCACAATGTGTTTTCAATGTGTCTGATATCTCCACTAACTACAATCTTCTCTCTCTCTCTCTCTCTCTCTTTGTTGCCCTCCCTCTTTCTCCCTCTTTCATCATCCTCCTCTATCGACAACCCTCTCTTTCTCTCTCTCCACATTTCCCTCTCTTTCTCCCAGACTCTGTGGTCACGGAGGCAAGGTCACACGCTCTACTCTTGGCAGGCTGCAGTGTGCGGAGCTTTTGCAGGTGCAGAGGATTATTTGCTGCTTTGGGAAAGAAGCGGAGAAGGAAGAGAGAGAGGGAGGGGGGGGGGGGGGAGGGGGGGGGGGGGGGAAGGGAGGGATGGGTGGATTTGTGAATAGATGGCTAGGAGGGCAGGACAACTTTACCCAAAGCCAGATTCCACAAAGGTGAGCTCAGCTGGCAAATCACATCCTCACCTGCTCAGCAGATCAGAGCAGAAAAAAGAACCGAGTAGAGAAGAATGGATGAAAGCAAATCCAGCCAATTCCTTAGACATTGCTCAGCGCTAAATGAGCACATTTTACTGCAGGGATTTTGCATTGTTGTCTAAGAAAATGCCTCATTATCATAGTTCTCAAGATACTCAGCAAAAAAAAAAATCATACCAAAGCAGACCGAGTCTGAATGGGTATCAGGGGAGAGACAGACAACGAAGGGAGGAGACAGCGGGGATGAGAGGGGCCGGTTCCTGGGTATGGGCCCCTGCAGCTGTGTGACCTCCTGAGCACTGGGGCCTGAAGTGGTTTAATAGAGAGGGAGAGAGAGAAAGGCGCAGGAAAGGAGTGACTGAGGGGAAGTGGAGTGGACTAAAAACAAGATGAATAGGGGAAAGGACCAGACAGAAACTAGAGACTGTACATCAGACTGTAAAATACTAGGTAGGGGCTAGAAGCACAAGTCAAAGAGATTCAGTGATTGTCAATGTTTCAAATGTTGAATTTGAGCATAGTTGTGTGTTTGATGATCTTGTTTGAGTTCCATGTCAAGATAAAGGTCTCGCATACCAAAGACAGATGTCACAGCCCAGTGTCAGCCTTATCAAGGATATGGTTTAACTGACTATGCAGGGAATCTGTCTGTCTGACTGTCCGGGATTGAAGTATTGTGTCGAATTTGGTGCAATTTGGACACGCGAGACTTTCAATATTAATAAACTGTTAATAAACATGCGAACAGTCCTCTGTCCCGCAGCGGGAATGGAGCTTCAGGGCTCCGCAGGCTGGAGCTTTTTCATTTACAATGTAATGCTGGGCACTTTAATACGTGATCATTAATTGTATTTTGATTCATAATATTTAGGAGTAAAATCTGAATCTATAGTATAACCTGTACCATCTCTCTATCGGGGTAAATGTACTAGCACAATGTTTTCCTCTGAAGTAGAAGTTGTATACAGTTGAGTTGCAGATTTGCAGATGTCCGGGGGTACAATGATTTGATAGAGAGGCATTGGCAGCCAAAAAATATATTAAATGGCCAGATACTGACATGAAGGCACACAAAAAAACAAACTTGTCTTGTGCAGTAGGCTACAGTTTCACTGTAACCAGAGAGAATGATATAAATCCAGACGGGCCAGACCAGTCTACTGTTTGAAAGCTGGAACGCAGACCCATGCATAACCGAGAATTGATGGACCCGCACCCTGATTGTCAATGATTTCGCAGCTGATTGCTATTATGTAGTTGATTTACAAGTTGTCAAAACAAAACTTTGCGTCCAACCTAATGTGTCTAATGTATGTGTTAGTAGCCTTATACCCTCCTTAATCCGTCCTTCTTGCCAAGAAAGCTGGCAAAACAAAGGTTTTCTGTTACTCCTCTAGCTGATTGGAACAGCATGGCAAATCCACTTATTATTTCAACTTGAAATGCCACTTCGCTGTCAAGATAACTGATGACAAATGCTATTCTTTTAGAATCAGCTTTGTCATTTTCTTGACTCCTGATCAGCGCTGTCTGATCACGGCAGGGTCTTCTCGGATCCGATGTTAAACAGACCAGGGACCTATGCTAATAGAACTGTACTGGACCTGGACCCGATTGACCGTATAAACCGTGGATTCAAACCTGTACAGGTCCCGGGTCTTGTCTTGGGTCCCAGGGTTCCGGTGGACCCGTGAAGACCTCGACCTCCAGTATTGTAGCTCTGAATAAAAATGCGTCGCATCATCTATCTTTTTTTCCTCAGTCTTCACTTTTATCATGATGAAAAAGGCAGAACCACAAACAAAATGCATATTTTCAGAAGAACAGTTCTGCAGACCCGTCCGTGGAGCAGTTGTTGGACGATTTCAGTCCATAACTCTTGCGACGCCACAACACGCCAGACAGGAAAGGAAGGTCGAGGTTAGCTTCTCCAGGGGCGATGGAGACATGGAGGTGAAGGAGAGAAGAGGGGATGAGGAAACGGCACCCCAAGGAGCTGAGACGTGGCCCTGCGCCACCCCACCTGGACACGGTCCACGCTGGGAGGAAGAGGAGAAAGAAATCAGAATAGAATAAGAGAAAGAGGAGACTGGCGATATGGATTAGTTGGTGTCAGACAGACGTGCAGAGGAAAAAAGATGCGAGATAAGGAACTGACTGCGTCATTTTGATACGAGTCCTAAAAACTTGTGTTGAGTTGTCAGAAAAAGAGTATTTCTTCTTACATTAGAGGAGTTGAACCTTTTGTAAAGTTAGTGTAGATTAAACCCGTAATAACTATTAATGAATATGGACTTATACAGATTTGTAGTATTATAGTATTCAGCTTAAAACAGACGACATTTCCAGTACATTGAGAAAATTGTTAATACGTTACAGGAAAAATTATTGACAAATATCTAATTGGGAGGATAAAAGGCAATCTGTGCCAAAGGGAGTAGAGAAAGAAAGCGGTGGAAGGGGGTAGTGGGGTGGTGTGTGGGGGGTGTGTGGGTCCAGCGCAGGAATCAAGTTCACGTCCCTCTGCGACTGAGCTGCTGTCCAAGAGGGATCCTCAGGTTTCAGTCACTTCCCCTTACATCGCGCTTCACACTCTCTCTTTCAATCATACATAATCTGTTTGACACTGGAAATGCTCACACGGGCGCCGTTAGTCATCCTGAATATCTCCACTTGTAAGCTGCCTTCACTTACGACGCACTTGACCCCATTTGAGCCACCTAGAAAAAAAAAAAGACCTCGCCAGAGACGAGATTACATCACCGTCTGATTTGCGTCTTAACTTTCATCACATGGTTTTTCCAGCCAAATTTAGATCCTCCACATTAGCGCTCCGTGTTGTAAGTCCTTCTTTTACTGCTATCCAATAACGCTGCAGGCTGTATGTTTTTATCCTCGCTGAACTTTTTTTCCCACCAAGTAGGAAAAAGAAACTAAAAATTTAAATCCTCAAATCTGTTAATTAGGCAGCATTAACTAGTAAAAGGTAACGGTGTGTTGCACCACACTGGTCCTAATGCTTTCCTGTATCCTCAGCTCACTTACAGTCACATTGCTCCTCGGTGGCCCATATGGATATGTTTACCCGAGAGCAGTTGCTATGTTTGTGGCGGAGTGACACGCACACGCACACAGCGTTTCTCACTTTCACACACTGCGGCTCAGAGGGGACACCTCTGGATCGTGCCGCCCATCCAGCTTCCAACTTGGAGGGAAGTTATGGTGTAACTGCTCTATAAAACTAATTGGAGGGAGTGTGTGTGCATTTGTGGGCCTGAACGTGTGTGTGTGTGTGTGTGTGTGTGAGACTTTTGCGTTTGTGTGCATCTGAATGTATCCAAAAGGGTTTTATTTTTCATGTTTGTGCATACAGTGTGTGTGTGTGTGTGTGTGTGTGTGTGTGTGTGTGTGTGTGTGTGTGTGTGTGGAGTGGAAGGTGTGGCTTGGATGAGGCAGTGGGAGGGGGCGGTGGGAATAGAAGTGTGTCCGTCTGGTTTTTGTGGTCTAATAGCAGGGAAGGTCTCAGATGGGGAATATTATCATTTTTATGAAGTAAATGGAGCAGAGGGCCAAGAGTTAATATGTTACTGTATCTGTGGTTAAGTAATTGGACTTTTGTTATGGGTTTATTTTCAATATTTAAAGACTCTTCTAAGAGCAAAGAGAGGCCCTTTTATGTCAGCACTTTGCTATGTGTGTGTGTGTGTGTGTCTTTTTTAGGTGCAGCAGCGGCATTTGTTACCACCCCTCTTGACGTTGCGAAGACCAGGATCATTCTCGCAAAGGTATACACGCACGCACACACACACACACACACACACACACACACACACACACACACACACACACACAGAGACCACACCACCTCCTCTGGCAGTGACTTCTAAACACTGCTGTCGGGTGATGCCTCGCAGGCAGAGAGCTGAGAGGGACTGCAGCCCGAGCAAATCTCAACAGTGTCCGCACACAGGACAAAGCAGGCTGAGGTAGCACCGGGACAGTAGTGAGACATACACACACATCTATCACCTGACCTGCACTATGGACAGTGTCGGTGAGACATGTTTGGGTACATGGTTAGTGTTAGAGCGAGGACTTGTTGCTGCTCCAGAGGAATTTCCATCTCAAGGCTGCTTGTCACTGAGAGGTGAACCAGAAGGCCAGGGTCCCTCCTGTTAACTCCTCCACTCTGTCCTCTCTCTCTCTCTCCCTCTGTGTAGTGGTGTCCCTCCTCTTCCTCACTCCATCCACCTCCTCTTTCACTTCTGGCTCACTCTAACTGTATGTCTGGCTTCTCTCACTGTGTGTGTGTGTACGTAAAGGGTAGTGAGTTCAGAGTTACCCCCAGTCAGCCCCCCCACAATCACACACACAAACACACACACAGACTGTCCTTGGAGAAGACGCAGTGTTCCGTCAACCCAACAACCAAACTAATTAATGAGATACTTGAATTAACAAAACAGTCAGACAGTCTTGATCTCTTGCGAGAAGCCGTTGGCTGTAGGTGGAACTGCATGGAACAAAAGCTTCCTGTAAACATTATTCGAAATGCAGCTGCTGTAATTCACCACCAAGCAAAGGACTTGGCCTGCGCTGCCTCAACAAAGCTCGGTTATAACTTTATAAGGCCAAGTTTTTGATTCCTTAAGTCAGCTGATAAAACCCCAGCGCTATGTATTCACTAGGTATTCAACGAAATGGAAGCCAATATGATACATTGTATCTATTCAAACTGGAGGTGTCTGTGTTCACAGTCCATCCAGCGTGGGTTTCCTGTTTCAATCTGTGGAGTATTTAGTAGTTAGTAATTGCAATAGTTTGTAAATGTTTTTTTTAAATTTTATTTTATTCTTTGATTTTCTACACTTTTACATGTTAGCTTTCTTTTTAAACATGGAAACGTAGTCCATTAGATAGACATGACAAAAGAAACATCCTTTGTGCAGCTTTCAGGCTTTTTTAGTATTTCGTCATGGACAAAAGCGGCATGCTAATAAATTTGGTGGATTTGGATTTAGTCGTCAAGTTCAAAAAGAATGCCAATATGTCACTAAGCCATTTATATTTGACCCAGCCAGCACAAAAACGAGTGCTGCAAAAAAGTATTATTTTCATTTTTGATCCGTAAATAGTTTTCTCACTCGATTGATCGCTTTGTCTCGATAATATCACAAAATAGTGAAACCTGCTCATCGTTATTTCCTAAAACCAAAGACGATGTCTTATTTTTTGCCAACTTAAATTCAGAGACATGAGTTTACGATCACATATGACAAAGAAACGCAGCAAATGTTTGGCATCTTTGCTTGTAAAATGATGAATTGATTACTGAGACGGTGTAGATTCATTTTCTGTCAATCAACTTATTGACAGATTAGTTTCAGCTCTAATAAAAATGTACTAAAAGATACAATTGTAAATGTGCTTTGTGTAAGTTATGAGGCCATGAAATATCTTCAAAGCAGCATAATTCAAAATGGACTTTGCAGTTCAAATTTCCATTTCCACCTGAAGTGCCTCACCTTAAAAGGTAACGTGTCCTTTTTTTTTTTTTAAAAACCGTGTCAGACTTTAGTTTGGTTTCTATCTTCAAATTCCCACAGCAGCAAGGGAGGACAAGTCCAGGCAGGAGAGTGTTTGGATACAGAGAGAGAGAGAGTAAGGCTGGTGTTGATGGGTATGGATAGTTTGGCTTGGACGAAGGGGAGGAAATGTGGGTGTTGGAACTTGTCACATTAGTTTCCGTCACCACAGTAGCAGAGGAGAAGGTTCTTTCTCTTCTGCGCCGGACAGCATGAAAGAATCGTGTTGTGCAGTAGGCAGCCTGGTGCAGGCGAGGTCAAAGCGGGCGGATGTCCAGGACACAGCTGGACTTGCAAAGCCCCCCCCCCCCCTGCCCACACGGCCCTGGCGGCAGCACCAGCAACATCCCTGGCACACCACGCTGCTGCTGCCCGCCTCCTACGCCGCTACCGTACAACACTGCTCTTCTCCTCAGGCTGGCATGGTTCCTGCCAGTGCACCACACTGCTGCCATCAATGTCATGTTCGCTACCCTCCACTGCAGCCGATTGTGGCAAACACAGGAGTCAGTGTCAGGCTGGCATGGTCCAACACCTTGTTGAACACTCGCCGCTGTTGTTTAATTTCATTGCATGCATCACTGTGGATGCCGAGAATGCGGAGAAGGTCAGCATCAAGCGCGTGTCTTTACTCGCACATGATTGTGATAAACTCGGATAACAAAGCAGGAAGCCAACTTAAGCAAAAATAATTGTATATATTGAGCTGCCTGAAGATGTTTTTGTATGTCAGCATAAGGTACACAGGTGTGTGTGCGTGTGTGTGTGTGTTTGTGTGTTTTGGACACCCTCTTCCTCCATTCCCCCCTTCCACCGTTCCACAGCGGTGAAGGAAAAGAAAACTTGTCAGATGAGTCAAATCTCAGCCACCTGTCTCCAACAGAAACATGAGGAATAGGGGTGTTTTCTTTTTTTCTCCTCCTCACATGAATGAAATGTGGGAATCTTCTTCTCGTTCCAGCAGATCTGGGAGTCGCAATTTTCGGCGGACGCCGCAAACTGTTTCCAACATGCTCAGTGAGCTGTAGCTTAGATTCCCGTGCACGCACATACACTCCTACTCGCTTCTCCTCATTGTACTGTGCCCTCCGCTGTCTCTTTCTGTTTCTGCCACCACCCACCCTCACTTAACCCCGACTGGCCCCATCCTGCAGCTCTCGTCCCCCTCTGCCACTCCACAGTGATGGATTAAAAACTCCCTGGCCGGCTAAGCCGTATTGTGTAAATATAAGTTCCAGGCTGACGGGCGTGGAGGGAGACGGGGAGGACTTGTTGAGTGTGTTTTTGGGTGGGCAAATGGCAGGTGCCTGGGTGGGTGTTGGAGGTGTCACCTTCGCTGACACAGCTGTCCATGAGGAGAAACAGAGGGAGACACAGAGGAATGAAAAGAGGGAGAGGGGGGAGTCGAAGGAAGCTCAGCCGAGGAAGACTAAACAGGGTGTCTGTTGGAGAAGCAGGAAGTGAAGGAGACGATCCATCCGTCATCACGCCTCTATTTTCCTCTCTCTCTCTCTCTCTCTCTCTCTCCCCCTCTCCCTCTCCCTCTCCAGGCCGGATCGACCACAGCGAGGGGCAACATCCCACTAGTGCTCCACGAGGTGTGGAAGAGCCAAGGCCTTTCAGGGTGAGTGTGCGTCTTCATGTTAGAGATATGTTCAAAGGCCATCGCGATCGTTTAACACAGAACACAACCTGTTTCATCCCAGCCCATTTAAAAGACCTTCTATTTCACATGATTTGATTTGACTCCGCCTGATCCCTCACGTAATCAAGTTTGATGATAGAGTTGCTCTTCTGGGGGGGGGGAGAACATGAATTTACAGCCTCGGCTGAAAAATGACATGTTTAAAAGCTTTTCCTGCCCGCTTGCTGCACTGTCCTATTGATTAAGGTGTTTCAGGGTCCAAGAGGAAGGGTTTATTTGAGTGTTTTGACGTGTTTATGATGCCCACCGGACAAAAGGCCAGGTCTAATGGGGCCGCAGAGGGCTGCCAGCACTAAAACAAACCCTCAGCCGCGGTGAATAATTGGCCCGCTTGTGCACAAGCTGCCATCATTTAGTTAAGATGCACCTCGGCTTAATGCTCGTTGCAGATTTGGTTTGGGACCGAGCCAAACACCAGTGGGACATCTCTCTCCGGCTCTCTGTCTCACAAACACACTCGTAAACACTGTGTTGTTGTTTTCTTTGTGTAGACTGAAGTGCTGGAATCTAATCAAAGACAAATTGCATTTCAGCTTTTGTATTTAATATGAGCCAAGGGTGATTCCCTACAAACTGCTTTCAGAATTCAGTAATAAGCCAGCCTTCAATTTGAATGAAGCTCATGTTGGAGACGACTGCACGATCTCAATGAGCTGATAGTTGGCGGGCCCTCGATGCAAAACCCTAAATCCCTCTCTCCCAGCTGCAACAGTGACCAAGTGGTAACGTACAGAGGAGCTCTTTGATGCCCGTCTCCCACCTCCGCACCACACGGCAACCGTTGATGTTGTTCTTTCTCTCCATCCTCCTCTATCTCTCCCAACTGTCCTCCGGGGCCAGCTGTAGAACTCACTCACATTGTGCAGCCCAGAGAGCATGCACCGTGAGCTCTACAACATGATGAACTCCTGGAAAAATAATCATTCTCTCTCCTGATATCGATGTAACCGGAGAAGGTGGAGAATGAGGGAAAAAAAAAAAGCAACTAAGAGAATGAGAGTAGAGAATGAAACGCAGAGACAAAAGAGAGTGTAGAGAGCAAAAGGAGGGGGGGGGGGTGCTGCTCCGCAGGGCCAAAGGCCCGGTGGTTGCGCTGGTGCATGCCTGATACAAATTGCCGGGGCTTTAAAGCTGTAATTATGGTAATGGGACCAATTGCAGTGTAGTGAAGCTCTAAAGTGCTTCCATGTGTGTGCCATGCCCCAGAGACCCCGGGTTAGCAGAGAGCAGTGTGGAGCTCACACACCGGCCTCCCCCAGTTACCAAACTGCACCGGGAATCGTGTCAAAACAAAAGACTAATAAGCGGCGTGTCCTCCGGGCTGTGTCTGCTTTGTGCCTCATGTGAAGCAGGAAAAGTAAACAAATGACATGTTTGCACCGCATCCACACAACAAAGCAGAGGCTCTGGAAATCTGTGGTGAGCCTTATTTGTACTTTTATGGCATCTCTTTGTTCTTCGCCGTAACAAATTAAGTTGAACAAGTTGAGCACTTTTGATAATTGGGAAACTATAGAGTATTACTAGACTTATGAAGGTGTGTTGTTGGCACAGATGTGCAATGCGCTCCTTTCCCAGAGGACAGCCCTAAAGCCACAGACACAGTCTGTCTCCTTCACTGTGTATGTGGTGTTTGGAAGGACAAATTGGTGTTTTGTGCTTTTTGGGGAAACTGCTGTAACATCTTTGTTTTTGACTTGACTTTTGTTATTAATATCCACCTTTTGTCCCAGAAATTCAAGTACTACTGAAGGACTTTGTGTAACATCCAGCTGATGTATCTTTCTCTGTTTTGATGAAGACCCACAGAGGTTAAAACTGGTCTCTTTCTTCTGATTTTTCCTAATGAAAAAGTTGCATTACCCTAGAATTATTTCCTGCTCCTACACAAGTGGCAGAAATGTGGTCCCACATTCATTTGAGGATTTCCACCCTTGTCTTTTTCACGAGTGCCAGCATTTGTTTCTCAACTGCAAGCCACGACGAGTTCACCGCTGCTCTTCTGAAGTCTCCTGTCGGGCCTCGACACTATATTTAGTCCCGATTCCTCAGGAGAGGTGATTGACCCGACAATAGGGAGATGACACCTCTCAGTGGCTGGCCAGGCTGTGATGTCAAGAGTGAGTCAGGGCACCCGAGGGGGGGGGAATATTTGAGCTCTGGCTCTGCTCTGACGTCTCAGAGTCCACAGGTGGGTCTGATCCCAGACAGGAAATGTAACAGTAGTCAAGAGAGCTGAGACAAAACAAGAGCGTTGAGTTTAAAATTAGTTCTTTCCTCACACTGCTGGCAATCAGGCCCATCACATGAGAAGATGTTGCGTCTACTGTGTTGTTAAGCTGTCTGTCTGCTCAGTGTACACGTTTTTTGTGTCTTTGTACTTTGATTCGCTTTGGATATCATGTATAATATCCTTGTGTGAGTAATGCTCAGTACTTTCCTGCTGCGGGCCTGTGACTTACGTTTCAGCAGATGGTGATGGAAAGCTGTGTTGAGATGGAAAGAGCATGCTGAAGGGCACGACAACAACGTCTGACTAATGTCTCTGCGTGTATTTGCAGCCTTTACGCCAGTCGTCCGTGCTTACACAAACGCACTCGGATTCTCCGTCTCACGCATACGCTCTCTTTTAGGCTATCCCTTCACTGGCTGACTTTTAAAAACACACGATCTGGGCCGGGGCATTCTGAAACTTGGAGTTGTGTGAATAGTTGGGATGACACGCTGTCCAGTGACCCAAATCTCAGATTTACAGTGAAAGCTGCACTTTAAGTGTCAAAGCACTAAATCAAGGTCCACTTTCTAGCTTTATTTTTCTGGAGCAATGGAAACTTCTTTATTGATTGTCAGCATAGAAGTGAATGCATCATTGCAAAAGATTATGGAGTGTAATGCAATGAACTCTAGATCAATCCATGACGGCAAAATGTGATGAGAGAGTGGAAAGACTAACCAAGGTCAAAACGTCTGCCCTAAAAAACGGCCTATTAGAGAACCTTCTTTACAGTATCTGCTGAAGCGCACCTGATAGAAACCAAACTGAACTTTTAGAAGTTTTTGTTTTTTAAATTGAAATGGACAGAAACACAAGTACTAACACACAGATGATGAATGCAGACAGAGATTTTGTGTGCGTAGACGTTTCTCCTCACGCAGACTCGCAGGCACACATCCACAAACACGCAATACTCTTCATCCGTTACATCTGGCTTGGATAGGGCCTGACCATGTGAGCGTGGGGGCGGATTGGCAGGCGGAAGGTGTTGGTAGGCAAATTCACGGCGAGAGAGAGAGACAGGCAGAGAGGAATGGGGAAATAAAAAAGCAGAGAGAGAGAGAGTAACGAAAAGGCAGATAAACAGACAAAGTGAGCGCGTGTCTTGAGAAGTAGATGACACAGCAAGAAAGGGAAAACGGAGGAGAAATCCCCCAACAACTGAGCCAGCTGAGGGGGCCGTCGCTGGACAGATAGACGGGGAGAAGTGGATGGACAGCAGAGGGACATGTGTGGATGTGATTCGGCCATCAGTCATGCACAGAGAGAGAAGGAAGGGGGAATGAGAGCTCCAGGGAGGCCTCAGGGTGGGGGCTTGAAGCCTAATCCCAAAAACAGCTGTGTGTAGCAGGAAGGGTGGGAGAGGGGGGGATGGTTGTTGGGCTCTCTCACGGCGGATCACATCCTCTGACCCCCGCAACATCAACGGTTTCTTGTTGGGCCTCCGTCGCCGTAACTTGTTGCCCTTTCTGTAAAGTGGCTCCACCAACAAGGCCTCACGCCTGACCCGCTCCCATGGAGCCTCTGCACCCGAACACGAGGCCCTGCTTCCACGCAGGCACCGTAAATCACTCACAGATACTTTCTATCGGTGGAGTGATACCCGATACGGCCTGAGCTGCCCTCGGCTCTGTTCACAGGGTTTTTTTTTTCTTTTCGTGGGGATAATTAAAGTTGCAGCAGGCAAACTTTGGAGAAGTACAACAGAAAAACCTACTTCCTTCTGCAACTGTTTCTGCTAGATGAGGTTCAGGTGTGTGCATGTGGCAAACCTAAGAAAATGCAAACATTCTGGGCAAAATAAACAAATATTTTTCAGCATTGACACATTTCTCTTTGTGGCTTCAGTAAGAACCTTGTAAAACTAGCTCAAACTAGTCATACATTTAGCTATAAGTCTTTTTCGAGTTAACACAGTTAAAAATGTCACAAAAATCACAAAATATAATGAACCTTTAGTTTCAATCAGTATTAATTATCTATATATCTATACAGTGTATGAACATTGAAATTAAATGATGAAAACAGTGAATGAAAGAGTGATCTTTACTGCTATAATAGTACTGTTTATCATATAACAGTTGCATGCATTGGTTAGTGTGTCAATCATAAGTCATATACAACTTAAACAGCACTATACTGTATCGCACTAACACAACTTTTATAATTGATGTCATGTTATTGCAGTACACGGTGATTGATTTCAGTGTTTTTTTCAGCAAAGTCCAAATATCTCTTAGATACCGATTTGCTTTGAATTTGCATTAATAATAGTGATTTCAGAATTCATATATCCTGCATCGCTTGTTCCCTTCTTCCTCTGCAGTCTGTTTGCGGGCGGCATACCGAGGACGGCCTTCATCAGCGTGGGAGGTTTCATCTTCCTGGGAGCCTACGAGAAGGTGCGCCGCTCTCTGCTGTAGCAGCTCGTCCTCTGCGACTGTCCCCGAGTCCCGACTTGGTGGACGGGACAGCAGGTGGAAGCAGTGACCTCGTCCCCTGGAGGAGTCGTCCACAGGCCTGGTGGCATTACCCAGGGTGCTGCATTCCTGCTCATCAGTGCCCTGAGTTTAACGGGCTGAGCGCACACACTTCTGTAACAACACCAGTGGTTTGGTTAAATGGAGCCACGCCCTGTCACATGAGCCATCTTTACTGTTAAACATGTATGTGTGAATCAATGAGTTGTGGTATTAAAGACGGTCTCTTTTTATGCTTCGAGGTGAGGTTTGGTGATTCGGTCCGCTGTAAGCTACCCTGGAAATCTCCCTCTACTTGGTTTCATGATCTTTTTAATGTTTTATCCATATTTTTCTCTCTGCTCAGCCAGACCACCTTTATTAAGAGACCCACCGGGGGAGGGACACCATTGTTAAATCCCCTCTGGAGCACAACTGAGCTCATCCACCTGCAGGAGCGTTAATTTAACACTTAAGAAGCATTTTTTTATTAGTTTGGGGTATATCTGTCTGTGAAATATTTGTATTAGTTGGCTTGATTGGAGCTCTTGTCGAAAGAATTAGTATACAGGGTGACTTCTTAATCTCAAACCTGTGAAACTGTAGGCTTATCCACAATGTGTTAATCAATAGAGCAATGGTGTAACATAAATAGCTATAGTTTTATGAGGAAATGTGTCAACTCCTCTATCCAATGAAGGTACTTATAGTAAGTGTTGAAAAGATGGATTTTCACTGTAAAAAGTTAGTTTATTTGCTTTCTTTCTGAGAGTTATAGGTTGATACTGCTATTGTGTCCGTGCTTTAAACAGGTAGCCACAGCCAGCATCCTGTTAGCTTAGCTTAGCACAAAGACTGGCAGCAGGGGGAAACGGCTAGCCTGGCTCTGTCTAATAGTAAAAGCCACCTACCAGCACCTCTACATATTGAACACGCAGTGACTACAGCTACAGTTCTACTTTTAATGTATTTAAGTCGGTTTCTTGAATCATTTAAGGGGTAGGCAGATTACTTAGGAGTCGCCCATGTAAACAAAGGGGCAGTTCACCCAAATCTGGTTTTCTCAGGGATTCATTCAATGGTCGACATGTTTAAGAAGCATGTTCTCATTTGTAACCATGTGTGCTATTGTAACCATAGCACACAGCTATCCAAAATAATGTATTACACGACTAGAAGATCCCTCCTCTGCGTGTCACTAAAGGATTATTTAAATGATATATGCAGGAACGGTTCGTGTTGGTGTGTTTTCCCTTCTTGTATTGACTGAATGAGCTGTGTGGTCCTTGTAGTCACCACAGAGGTAAAGCTGAAGAGCTGGTAAAGGAGACGGATGGCCTCACAAGTGGGGAGTGTTCGTCATGCTGCTCGTCCCTGGGCTGTTGGGACAACAATAGTCGGCGTGTGATTGGTGGAGGCCACGGGCCGGTAGCGCGTCAATCATCCCGTGACACACATCCATAGGGAATGCAAATTCTGGTCAGCAACTGACCCTCAATCAGCCTGACTTGATGGCAAATATTTTAAACAGCCCGCAGAAGGAAAATAAATGCCTGCTGTCTTTGGAGCTTCAGGGATCCAGGACACATTCCTTGTGTGTGTGTGTGTGTGTGTGCGCGTGTGCGCGTGTGTGCGTGTGTGTGTGCGCGTGTGTGTGCGCGTGTGTGTGTGTGCGCGTGTGTGCGCGCCAGGCAGAAGCTACTTCACTGCTATGGGGATCAAGGTCTCTGGATTTCACGTCTATGAATTGATGGCTTCTCCATAACCTCTCGCACATGTGAGCAGGGCTAAATGCTGCCTCAGCTCTTTTGGACTCTATTGTTTAACACTCCTTTCATTCTGTGTGTGTGTGTGAGAGATCTATATATAGATCTATCTATATAGATATCTATCTATCTATAGATATCTATATAGATATCTATCTATCTATAGATATCTATATCTAGATGGATGGATGGATGAAAGAAAAACAGGCAAAACGCTCCCAATAATAGCAAAATGTGATTTTTTTTTATTAGACACTTCAATGCCATGTTAGACACTTCACGGTTTCAGCTTTGACATTGGTACAACGGTTTTCAATAAATTACTCAGAACGCGAACTGCACCTCTCGCTCTCTCTCTCTTGTCCCTTTCACCTGCTCCACTGGGATTGGTTTTCCCAGCAGTGATCTCTGACCATCTCTTGATAGGTGCTGTCAGGTGTAACCAGAGGAGCGTGTCCTCCGGTTTACCTCGATAAGGCCACTGGTAACGGACCACAGTTCAGACGAGTGGCACGCTGGAGAAAATGCATGCATGCATTAGGCAATGTAACTATACTTTTGACTGAGTTCTGACCCAGTGTGTCCAGGGACTGTGACAGTCCTGCGTTTAACCTCCCAAGTTTGGTTAGAGCACATTTCACAAGCTTTTCCCAACTGTTCACAGCATAAACCTTTAGCTACCGCCAACGTTATCGGACTGTAGCGACGATGAGAAAGTTATTGTCCCATTGCGGTGATGCGACAGAGGCAGAGCACCCCCGCCGCTCACCTGTGAATGCACGACGGTGGATGTTGAGGCACATTACAGCAGTAACAACAACAAAACAGGCCGTCAGCCTAAGTTTGGGTGCAAAAGTCACTTTCTGAGACACTAATCAAGAGTCAGAGACGAATGTTTTCTCAGAGCAGCTTCTCGGTTACTTAGTAGTATTGTGAAACAGGTGGAAGAGCCTCAATGGAACGGTATGTACTGTCGACTTTCACCGCGACAAAATAAGAATGTCTCCTCACAGGTTTTACTTTCCGGTCGGCCGATAACAATCTACTCGTTTATGACGGGAATACAAAAAAAAAGTGCTTTAACCTGACGGCCCACAAATATCCCGGCATGAACCACCTGACGTACCAAAAATAAATTGACATCAAAGCTCTTCCTTCATACGATAACAATGGATGTGAACTGTGTTTCTGTAAGGCCATGGTCGGCAGCGTTTGTCCAAAACAGAAAAAAAAAAACATTCAAGTGCAATCAAGTGTTTGTTTTGTTTGCGATAAAGAGCGTACCAGTATCTCTCTTGATATATGCTATTACAAGTTGGGTTTTCTTTGATCATGCATTAAGGCACCGCAGCTGAATGTTGGTAGAAGCTGAAAAAGGCTGTTTGTGTTGTTTTTGAAGAAAAATAAAAATACCATCACTCCTTTCTTTGTCATGCACATAAATTCAAATACTCTTTTGTAAAAGTTATATAATATATAATATAAGAAAACTCTTATGTACAGTCAAATGTCCAAAGGCATATTTCCCCCCCCCCCCCCTTGCACAAACATACACTGTACAAGATTCCCTACATTTACATGCTTCAAATGCAAGTCACATTTTTTTGGAGCTAGACTTTTTATTGGTCACCTCCCAAAAAGGAAGGTTTTTAAACTATGTACAGCTGATACGCTCAGATGGGACGCCACCCACACAAGCTCCGCCTTCAAAACTCCGGATGCCCCCCTCGCTCTTCACTCTCCTGGTGCTCCCTTTTCAGTCCAGATCCAGGAGGGCTCAGGATCAAATACGCCTCGATATGAGGTAGCAGTTTATTTCCCAGTGCAAAAAAAAAATGAAAAGCCCTCTCGGCTACTGCGAGTCAGCTTTTCGGGCTGGATGGAGCGCCTGCTAGTCGCTGGTTCTCCTTAGGGGGGCGCTGTCATTCTGAGAGACTCTGAGGGTGTGTCCGTTGGACAGCAGAGTCTGCCTGAGCTCAGACTCGCAGTCACTGTCGAGAACGCCGCCGCGGCTCGTCACGCCGGGCAGTTTCACCGGCTTGTGGAAGGAGTCCTCCAGCGACGGGGCGCACGCCGGCGTCTGTCCCGCTCTGCTCACTGACCGACAAAGAAAGAGAAGGCGGGAGGGAGGAAGGGAGAAGTCAGTGTGTGTTAGGATACAGAGGGAGTGGAATGTATGCATAAGGCTGCCGCGTTGACATGTGAAGGTGAGAATTGGTATTTGGAGGCCATTTCCACGGGTATTACTGCTTGCCAAAGAGGCTGAATCCCAGAACAGGCCCAGACGTGCAACTGCAGGAGAACTCGGTGCTTCTCTGCTATATCTCAGAGAGATATCCAGAGTGGCTCTGGGCGTGCAACTATGATACTCTGTCAAATTCTGTTAGGAGCCAATCCGTCAGTATCATGTTCAAGGGAATTTGCTTTGACAATGGTTCCTAAATTCCTAATAATTTCATAACATGAATTATATTCTTAGAAAAGCAACTTTAAAAAGCCTCCTGGAGGAGTGTTTTTGTCTTTGGGAGATGTCTGTTGGAATCTGTTGGCAGTCGTAGTGCAGGTCCTGCGAGCTACTCTTCTAAACTCGCTGCACTCTGATCCCCTTACCTTTTTTATCCTGTTGGTTCAGCTGTAACGTATTGTGGTTTTTTGGAAACGTGGATCCTTGAATGTCCTTCCGGATCCCGTTGGGTGTCCCGTTGCAGAGCGGGCCCGAGTGTGGCCCTGCGTCGTGCAGCTCCCCTGGATAACAGTGAGAGTAAGGCGGGGGGACGGAGTACTGTTGGTACTCCGAGCCTCCGGGTGGGCCGAACCCGTGCGTCAGGTAGTCGGAATCTTTGGAGTAGCTGCTGCCGCTCTCCATGCAATCTGTGCACGCTACTGCGCCGTCGAAACCTGCAGGCAGGCGGGGGAGAGGGAAAATAAATGACTGTGGAAACTGGATGTCGACACTGCGGTTACGGGGTGTCTGCGGTAATTATTTCTGATGCCGAGCAGGCCTTCAACGGAAGGTGGTGCTCCTTTCAACGTTACGCAACACGCCGACTCGGGGGGGCAGAGACTGAGCTGTCGGGTACCTGTGGGGTCCACAATGTGTCCGTTGGGCTGAGGTCCACCGCCGGCCTCCACTCGGATGCACACATCCTGCCGCTCGGACAGCGTGCCCTGGGAGGAGAGGTAGCTGGGTACGTCTGGAGGAACTGTCGTCTCATCTGGAAGAAATGAGAGAGCCCAACACAAGACATTACAACCAGGGTTGTGGATACCGTGACACAATTAGTCAATATATATATGTTTTCTCTTAGATAGATCCTCCTAGTTTGCTATTTCTACCCATGATAAAGGGGCAGCATAGATCCCAGCTCACCTGTGTTGGTGACGCTGCACTCCTCGCTCTTCTTCCTGGTCTGGTAGATGATGCAAACCCACACCAGCGACGTCACCACGATGCTCGTCACAACGGTGATGACCACGATCCCTATGGTGACCGAGCTGGGCCCCGCTGCCGGTTGGCAGGGGCCGCGGCGCTGGTTCACCACCAGCTGGCTGTGAGCGCGCTCCGTGCCCAGGGTGTTGGACATGAGGCAGGTGTAGCGGCCGGCGTCCTCCAGCGAGGCGGAGCCGATGACGAGCAGCTGGTTCCCCGGCGTGAAGTGGTGTCTGTCGGAGGGGCGCAGCGGCTGGTCGTTGCGCAGCCAGGTGATGCGGGGCGGCGGGCTGCCCAGGGCCTTGCACTGCAGGGCCACCGTGTCGCCAACCACCACGCTGCGGTCCTCCAGGTCCTGGGCCAGGTGTGGCGTTTCTGTGTAAGGAGAGGAGCGGTTAGGATTCCTGAGGTACGCCATTCCTATTTTTCTATTGTTATTCTCTCGCAGGTTTCGGTGTCCGTTCTCGGGTTTCCGTCTGTTCACGGTACTGATTACTGCGAGGTGAGTCAGCTTGATAGGCCGAGCACAAAGTGTGATGCTCTGACTTTGATATCCGACCACTGAAAGCTTATCTCATAATGACGGTCTCATCGAACAATCCTATTTATACATCTGAGGTCATATCTGTATTCCTGACAGATTCTGGAATCACTTCACTTGGTCATACGTTTTAATTACAGCACACAAACAAGACTTCTCTCGGGACAGGATCCTCCTCAGAACAATGTTTTCAGTGTTTCCCTGGAAACCTCACATTCTGCTGAATGGAGCACATTGAACCGAGTGTGTGTGTGTGTGTGTGTGTGTGTGTGTGTGTGTGAAGGTAGGCCTCTCCTCTCAGACTGAGCACTTCCCCTCACAGTGGGACATACACAGATTAAGAGATCTCACTTAACCCACTTCAGTCGCCCCTCTCTCTTCTATCAATACTTTCTACCTCTCCATCAATCCCCCCCCTCTTTCTTTTCTCTAAATCCCATTTACCTTCCCCCCACAAACCGACTCCACCATTCCAGTTCTTCTTTGGCTCCCATTTTTCTCCCCCGCCACTCTTTTCCAGACAGGGGCCCCTCGACTGCAGTCATCCCCCCGTCCCCCTCTCCTTCCTCAAACCCAAACATCACCGCTTCAGTCCAGAGGCATGGTCGCTTGCAATATTTTACATTGTTGGGTGGATTAGCGCTCAGACTTCACAGCGGTTTAAGCTCCCAAGCCTCTCTCAAGCTGCACAATATGCAAATGTGTCCCCTAAAATACCGCCGCTACCAGTCGGACCGCATTAAAAATAGAAACAGTTGCTTCTGAGCTCTTTCAGGGAAGTTTAAGGCTCGTGAATATTATGTGTTCGCAAAGAAACCCCCCATCTTTGTTTCTTAAGCTCTGTTTAACAAGGGACTGCTTTGCTCCGCTCAAAGACAAAGGACAAAGATGATCTATGTCCTGAGATGGTTATAGGAGAGCAGCTCTGTTTTGTTTGATTTAATGGCGTAAAACAGCCAATAAACTGGGAGCACTGAGGCCTGCAGTGAAGCAGCCATGACTGTCTCTCCAACCGAGAGAGGAGAAGGTGGGAGGGTGGGTGGGAATGCCTAACAAACACCCCTCTGTGAGTCCCCGCTTTTGCTTCCCCCACCATCCCCCCTTTGACCCCCCAACTGTGACCTTTGGCCATTGACCTGCAGCAAGGCCACAGCTGCCGAGAAAAGAAAAATATAAAGCCTCTCATTCTGCGCCCTCTGACTGACCAACTCCCAACTGAGCGCCAAGCTTTTTACTAAGTGCTCATTTTTTTTGTGGATGTGGGAAAACTGTAGCCAAAAGTCAAATAATGTGCCGATATTAGCTGGAGGCGCCTTACCCAGCACGGTGAGGCTGGCGTTGGCGGACACGGTGCCCGCCGTGTTTTTGGCGGTGCAGCTGTACACGCCCATGTCCTCCGGCTTGACGTCCATGATGAAGAACACGTCGTCGTCGGGCATGACGTGCATCCGGCGCTCCCGGGCGGCGGGGAAGTCCGTGCCACCGTCCTTCTGCCAGGCGATCTGCGGCGCCGGGTGGCCCTCCGCGGCACACTCCAGCCTCGCTGTGTGGCCCGTCCGGATGGTGCTGTCCCGGGGAGTCTTCACGAAGGATGGGAGAACTGTGGACAGAGGAGAGACACTGCTTGCGTCAGTATCGTCCGTGCGGTTTCGGGTTAAGAGCGTTGACGGCAGTGGTTCGGGATTACAGAGCGCCGAGCGCTCAGTTTCGCGACCCGCGCTTTTCACAGCTGGTGCTGGCATCCAAACCAGTGAACTTCTGGGCAAGTGCCCATGATTGAAACCTCTATAGGTAACTCTTACATTACGCCACAAAGACAAGAAGCAGCTACAGGTCTGATGCAGACTCGGGCAGGCAACCAAAACCCAAGATTAATACTCTCCACTCGCCGAAAAAGCAGAGTGACAGAGCGTAGAGGAGATGGCCCCTGTTAGCGCTGACATGCAGATAAATCAATTTGTTCCAAATACCATCCTAGGAGAGATGGAGGCCCGGCGAGTGAGAGTGAAGACTTTATTCAAGTGAAAGAGAAGAACTCAGCATGGCCACTAATCTCAATCGCTCCACTGTCAAACGGGACAATTGAAACTCATGAGAGGAACATAAACAGGCATCGTATCTGTTGGACATTATGTAATCGCACACATATCAGCAGATATTGGAGTGGTTTGTCTCTGTTTATCTTCTCTTAGCTTGACACTGGACCACTTATATTCCTCCATGTTCCTCCCACATGTGCACTGCCATCTTACCCTTTACAACCAGAATGAAAGCAGTTCTCCTCCTCCATGATAATAATATAGTCCATCTTAACAAAGAGGCTCTAGTCCTTTACACAATGTCCTTTAAAAAAGAAAGAAAACCTACCGTTGACGATGAGGCGGGCCTTGCTGGAGTAGGTGGAGCCGAAGTGGTTGGTGATGATGCACTGGTATCGGCCCTCGTGGGCGAAGGTGACGTGCCGCAGGTGCAGGATGGTGGTGTACTCCATCACACCTCCAGCTGCGCCCGGCACGTCGGACGTGGCGCCCTGGTGGTGAGCGCGCACGTGGGCATAGTTCTCCGTCTCCGCGTGGCGAAGCAGCTCCTGGTCCTTGCGCCACGCAAAGCTCATCGGGGAGCTGCTGCTGCTCGCGGCCGTACAGGTGAGACGCACGTCGCTGCCGAGGACCGTCACAGACGTTTCCGGCTGCACGGTGATCTGGGGCTTCGGAAGGTCGTCTGAGAAGAGGCAAAAGACAGCACGTGAGAAGGAGGACAAGGAGTCTCAGAGTGAGGACAGTTATTGGAAGGACGAGATAAAAGGAAAAAGACAAAGTGAGTTGAACGTTCCCTCGTGAACAACACCCCCGCCCACATCAACAAAGATTAAACACACGCATAACTCACCACACACAAAGCTGTTGGACGGAGCCTGGAAGATGCTCGTGCCCTTAAGGCTCTCCGGGTGGGCACAGGTGGCATTGACCCCGGCCTGCAGACCACGCGTCGCCAACCAGTCGGGCAGCCATTGCAGCTGGCAGTCACACAGGAAGCTGTCGCTCTGAATGTCACTGTAGAAGGGAGGAGTAAGTACATGTGGTATATATCAGGCCCATTGCACCTTGTAACTGAATATGAATATGAATATGAATAATATGTTATAATATAATATAAAAAATAATATGATTCTGATACTGTGTGCAAGGATGCCAACAGCGCTGAGGCTGCAATCTCGTTTGAGGCCGCTGGCCTGAGTCGTGCACATGAATGATGTGTATTTGTGCGAATGCATCAACAGTACTCACAGGGTTTTGAGGTTCTTCATTTTGCTGAAGGCATCAGACTGGATGGAACGAATGGCATTCTCTCCCAGGACCCTGTTGGGACATCGCACATGTTAACTGTATACACATTCCAGCCACACACGGGGTTTCATTAGCGAGGATCTGACTTTCAACCGAGGTGGAAATATCCAGGCCTGCCTGTCTGAGTGTGCTACATGCCAGCTTTTCCATCCCTCCCTGCCCTCGTTCGACGAAGGCCTGTGAAAGAGCTTATAGGAATTCCATTTCTTCTGCGGAGCTCGCCATATGCTCAATAACTTTGTTCCTGCGCAGAGGCAGGAAGAGAAAAAAAAAGGCCAAAGTTGAGCTCGAGCTAGGCTAACGAGAATGAAGCAGCTGGGCGCTCGCAAAAAGCCTCTGTCTTCTCCTTTTACAAAGACGCTATTAAATTGCTAGCAGTCTGCTTTCTGCCAGCAACTTTTGGCAATCCCTCCCCCCAACCACCCTACACTCCACCCTCTCTTCCTCACTCTCACTCCGGCGGAGAGGAGGGGCAGCCAAGCATTGTGGGATACTCACAGGTGTTCCAGGGTTTCCAGGCCAGAGAAGGCTTTCTTGGCCACCGACTTGATCTTGTTTCCAAACAGAGTTCTGCCGTTTCCAAACATGAAGGGTGTCAATAGATGAAGAGAGAGAGAGAGAGGGGAGGAAGGGGGTGAGAAGAGGGAAGGTGAAAAGAGAAGAGGGAGAGAAGCACAATTAGCAAGGCTGAATCTGATAAGAGTGGGGGGGGGGGGGTTGGGGTATTGGAAATCCGAACTGTGTGGAGATTAGCCAGGAGGAAGGGTGGGGGGAGATTGGAAGGGGTTGGGGGACTCTGCGCTGCTCTTCAAAGAACACTTTTATCTTTATTAGAATTAAACAGCAATGAGCAGGCGGGGCTGCGTGTTTCACAGAGCTTGTGCGTCCACATACGTGCCACCATGTGAGTGTATGCGTCCGTGCCTGTCGAGTCTGGTTTTGAGCCAAGACGTCAGTTGCTGCTCCCTCTGATTTCTGGTCCTAATCCCCCCCCCCCACACACGCACGCACGCACGCACGCACACGCACACGCACACGCACACACACACACACACACAACTATCCCTCACTTGTTCTTCTCCTGTTGTCGCCCTCACTTCACAGGAAGAGGAGACACGGATGGCCGGTTCACAATGAAGACCCCGGTGTTAGAGCCCAACCACATGTACACACAAACAAACGGCTGTCTTGTCCCAGGGAAGACAAGAACCCTACTTTGCCAGAATTTATGTTAGGCTATCAAAGAATATGAAAATCTGAATAAAATGGAAGATCTACTCATCATTTTATTTGGCTTAGATCTGTAAGACCCATTCCCTCCCATGTGGTGGCATTCACAAGCTGCTTTAGGAAAACCCAGTGTGTGTGGTGGACACTTTGATGTTTCACGCCTTTCCTTCTCTGTCCTGCATCTCTCTTTCCCATGGCCCTCTCTGCCAGCGTCGGGATTGCAGCGGGCCGCTTCCGCCAACGCCGTGACAAAAGGGGGCAGGGTCAGAGGGCGGGGCGTACGCTGCGTTTGATGTTGATGACTGAATGCAGCCCTCGATTTTACCCTCTCTCAGTTCCAAACAACAGGGACTGGGAAAGAGGGGACGAGAGGAGCAGAGGCTTGGAGGAGAAATAGAAAGTAAGCCTATTGGGGCGCGAACCCCTGCCAGCTCGAAGAAAAGCCCTTTCTCCCGTTCTTTCTCTTTTCAACGGTGCTCACACTGGGAACCATCTTGGCTGGACATCATCTTTTCATGTTGATGATTGCCCATCAGTGCCAGAAATTCCTCGTCCGTAGTCATTTCTCAAGTTGCCAACTCTCGATATTGAACTTTTTTTACTAGCTGCCTTTAAGGAAAACATTGCTGAGTAATTGTGAAAAGAAATGAGTCACTCCGTCTTCTTCTTGAACAATTAACAGCAAAGAGACTCCAGTTTGGCCACGAAGCTACAGTGAAACAATGAAATGGTGAGATGAAAGCCAGATTGAACTGGCCTAAGCTTCCACAGGATGACAGGAGTACAATAATACAATATTGCCTTCGATGTTTCATGAACACGCCTTGTAAAAGAGGGAAGAGGGGCCCTATATGTCTTTGTTCAGTGCGAATACTTCCCTACTAAATGAAGTGTGGGGGTCCAAAGTGGACAGATAACTCAAACTCTGCAGCCTTAAACTGAACTCAGCTGAACTTAGCTGGCAATGGAGGGTGAGTCGGGATTTGGAGGGAAACTTTTGGATGCAAACTAAGAAAAAGCTCCCTTCTGTTTTTGAAGAACAGCAGAGAGGATCCCTGACTCAGTGGAAGAGCGGGAGGAAAAGGAGAGGCGGAGGGAACTAAAAGAAAGAACTAGAGGAGACACTCACAGCTTGTTGAGGCTGTCCAATCCAGAGAAGGCCCCGTTGGTGTCCTCTATTGTGCCCGAGATGTCATTATGGTCCAGCTCCCTGTGGAGAGTGAGAGAAAAGAAGGGGGGATAAGAAAGATGCAAGGAGGGAGGGAACGGGGAGAACAGGGGACAGGGTCTGGCAGCGCTGGAGCGTTTCACAGCCCTGGCAGAGGCTGGTCTGGAAGTCACGGGTTACCCCTTTCGCCCACACTCCCTCCCCCACATCATCCTCCCCCCCTTTGCACCTGGCCTTAAGAGCCCCTCTGCCGCTCTGATCTGCCAACCAAGCGCATTCTTTCCTTAGAGGGGTGGAGAAGGAGTGTGTGCGTGCAAGTACATGTGTGTTGGTGTGTCAAAGCAGAAATCATCACTGGGAAACACATGTATAATTCATGACGGCATGGAGAGATTGGCGGCAGCCCAACGCCTCATGAGAGGCCAAACAGTTGGGTCCATTTGTCCGACGGTGGCAGGTAAGGCACGGCCAAAACTAAAGCCAAGAGTCTTAATAAGGTTAGCAGCCATCGCCGGGCAAAGACCAAATGGATTCAATGAAAACAAAGAAAACAAAAAAAAGGGGCTTCTATTAGAGCGTTTGGGGGTTTCCAAACACTTGTTGAATGCACACCGCTTGCCCTCACTAAAGGCCTAAAGAGCTATCTCTGGAGGTGAAGTCATAGCTGCAGAGGAGCCACCAAAAGAAAAAAGATATGAGCCGTTAAAAGACTTTCTTTCAAACTTGAGAAAGGCCTTTGAGGTTGATGGTTAGCCACACCCTCGCAACATCGCCACAATAGCACCCTCCGCCTCTCCTCCTCCCCTCTTTGCCTTCCAAGCGTCCCTCATCCCCCTCTGGTTCTTTTCAGTCCCCATTGGCCTCTGTCTTAGTCGGCCTGGACAAGGGGCTGCCAATTTCCTACTCTTTCTGGCTGGCTGGACGTGAATGGCCGTTGCCTTGTTAAAGCAAGGCCAGCGGTGGGGGCCGTGGAGCAGGGAGGCCGTAGGCATGGAGAAGGGGGGGGGCGGATGAGCCAACGACCCCTGTGGCCGAATTAGAGGGCAGGCTGGCTTGTTTGGAGCTTTCACACCCCGATGCGGGCTCCGGCCACATGCCAGCACGACCAGCAGCGCGGGCCCAATTAAATCTCCCCCGGCTCCTTTTCAGGGCCCGGCCGCCTCCCCTCCGCTGATTAGATTAGGCCCGCCTCAAAGACACCGAGCGCAAGACTGATACAAGGGGAAAGAAGAGATCGTGCCAAAATCAAGACAGAGATAGTGTGTGCATTGGGGGGGGGGGCTAGCCTGAGGAGATGACAGAATACACTTGGGAAGAAATGGGCAACTAAGTGTGCTTAAACATGGTAAAGCCAAAAGAAACAAAAGTGAGCCATTAATGACAGAAGAAAGGAAAACATGAGAAAGGGCCTGAGATATGGCCGTCACAAGCTCAGCTCCCTATCCCTCCCTCTATTTCCCTCTGTAGCTAGTTATCCAGCACCCAGTGTGCCAGCAGAGAGAGGCCTTATGTGCCTTGGCTCGTCACCCCTGTTGAGGGAGAGAGCTTCTCTAGCTCTGGCACATCTTCCCCTCTCTGGCTCTCTCACTGGGAAGAGGGACAGCCAAGACGACCTTGGTGCGGAACCAAGACCCCCAGGTCTTTCTCCTGGATTTATCCCCTGACTTTCTCCCTTTTTCATTCCTTCGTTTTCTTTCATTAAGGCCCGTTTGGGCTTTTTCTGCAAAAGGTGGATCGGCGGGAAAGGAGACCTCTTGTCTTTAGTCGTGGCTTCTGAAAGCGGGGGAGGGTCTCGAGGGAGGCGAGGGACACAGAACACTTTTAGATCCGAGTTTAGTTGGGAGCCAGTGTTCAAAAGGCCCAAAACAAAACCACACAAAAGGAACAAAGTGGCAAAAGACACAAGGAAAATAAGGAGTTGCCACAGAAACCCCCCCCCCCGAAAAAAGTGACGCATGAACGCCTAAATGGAAATGTAAAAAAAAAAAAAAAAGCTCATGAATGCAAATGAGATCAAAACCAGTCCTGAAAAGTAAACAACTCCTTCTTTCTGGAGTCAAATGAAGGGATTACGTAAGCCTAAATATCAAATATCACACGGGCGAAACCAATATTAAACATCTCAGCTTTCACAGCTCCCAAGTGGCACATCTTAGCCTTATCGTCAGCAGGGGCCAAACCGTAATGAGGGTGTTGTTGGGGGGGCTTGGTAATGGGGGTTTGGGGTGGGTGGGTGTGTACTTACAGGACGCGTATGGCCTTCAGGCCTCTGAAGGCTCCCTCGGTGATGTGGCTGATGGAGTTGTGGCCCAGACGGAGAGAGTGGAGTTCCCCCAGCACAGCCAGACTGCCTTCATCCAGACGAGTCAAGTTGTTGTACGACAGATTCCTGGAGAGAGAGAGACGGAGCGCGAGACAGACAGAGGAGGACGACAGAGGCCAGACAGAGAGACAGGGGAGAGAATAGAGAGAGGGAGAAATGTTCTGTGTGAGGTCTAGAAGGAGACGACAGGTTGGCAGAACGCTGATGCAGCTCGCGACATCATACTTGAATTTCATGGCTGATTCAACGTCTATTTGCCAGTCTGCGATGTGTTTTTCCATCGTGCCTTTTTCTTCCACCGCAAGACGTTAACAGAGAACGGGCTCAGCAGACCTTAGAGCTCAACTGAGGTCTTAACCGTTTGACAGGGAAGAAAAAGGCATTCTTGGTTGAAACTTTACATGTCTACAATATCTCCATTTATAAGCCGACTTGAGCGTGTGGTAAACCCCGGGGGAATATACTGTCACTCATGTGTACGACAGCCCTCAAAGTGTTACTTATTTTCAAATGTAGCCGTCAAATCTCAGTTTTTCTGACACGATGATCGAAATCGGATGTGAACGGTGGATTTTCGAGCAGCTTCACTTGTTTCAGAAATAACATGAAGTTGATTTACTTGACAAATAAGACTCAAAACGTCTTGTAAGAATGTTGCAATCTTGATAAACCCTGATTATAAAAGACAATAAGTCCCGTTCGGGTATCTTTTTCAGACAGTAGTCAAAGGCAGTATTGTGCCTTTCATTGCCCTCGCTGTGGCCCTCGCTGTCTGTCTCTGTGGCCGGGCCTCAGCTTTGCTTGAGCGGTCATGTGTGCAGAGATTCTCCCTGATGACCAGCTCAGCCCGGCCCATTGGGAATGCAATAACAAGGCTCCTCATAAAGACGAGTCACTCTCCTCTATTGGCTGTGGGGGTTATCATAACGGTGGATCGTAAAAAAAAAAAGAAAAGAAAATCATATAACCGCCGACTGGTGCAGCGCCAGGGAGGATGATTTGGAGCAATCTGTCTTTCGCAGACGTGTGTACAGGAAACGGCATTGAGATACACAGAGCAAACTGACACGAACGCCATCTAGCTCTTTATCCCACGCGACTGTTACATGTAAACAAACACAGGCGCCACAGATACCCCGGGCTACCTCGCAGTTAGCAACGCCTCAGCTGAGCAAAGCACTTTAGCGCAGCAATACGGCGGTCATGTCAGCGGAACAGAAAAGCCTCTCTCGATAATAACTCCTCGTTTGGTAGACAAAGGCCGTGAAGGCGATCCTTCAGTGTAATTACCACAAGACAACCGGTGGAGGATTACGCGCCGGTTTGACAACCCCCCCCCCCCGCGGGTTCAGAACCGAGTACAACAACTCTCGTCGAAGGGCTTGAGTGCTGTTGATCCCAGCTCTAATTATAGGATAAACAGGCTTATTCTGGGAATAGCGTAGCGTATTGAGTGTTAAAGCACAATGTCACTTAACCCCGGGGGAAGGTAGATGGGTGATACGGTTGGGGGAGGGGAGTGTTGAATTCTCAGGCTATAGGAATTAAATCCCCAGAGACAGACAGAAAAGATTTTACAGCAAACTCTGCAGTTGGTGCCGAGTTTTAAATATACATCTTTTATTTATTTATTTTAATTGAACTATGTTGAACTTATGCTCTATGACTCCAACTCTCGACGACTGCAGTCATCATTCCAAGTTTTGAAACTTTAACCTCTACTGAAGGTTTCATTGCGAGAGGACATATGGCACGAGGGTTTTTAGTGCACGGGTACTGAATGCTAGTACTCACAGCTCCCTCAGCTTCTGGCAGAACTTCCATCCGTCAGGGTAGATGCGGACTATGTAGTTGTTACTGAGGAATAGCTGCTGGAGGGAGGTCAGGCCGTACAGGGAGCCACTGTTCACCTCTGACAGGCTGTTGTAGTCCAGGTGACTGCAAGAGACAACAATGAGCAAAATAAGTATCATCAGGAAGCGGGATACATTCGTAGGATGGTGACAGAATGGCTTACAGGCAAACAGGAAGTCAGGAGTTTGGTGGTAATTGAAATGAGTAAATTTGCAGCAGCATTTCTGAAAAATTGCAATGCAATTTGTGACCATTACTATTTTACTTTGCATGTAATTGAATGATTGAGTGATGCTGGGCATGTTCCAGTAAGTACTAACATATGTTGTTCTTATAAGGTTAGGTGGGTGAGTATTTGAATTATAGTCAGTAACTGGTGCAAATAGGATTAGCCAGTTGTCATCAGGTGGTGCAACCAAAATATGCAGGTGTCAGATATTTGGTTAGATATTATATGCTATGTACAAAATCAGTCACATAATATATAATAATTGGCAATGTAAATGTATTATTGATAGTTTCAGGGTTGTTTTTTTTTTTTTTTTTACATACAGGACTTTCATCTTGGCCAGGTCCCAGAAGGCCCCGTCAGTCAGTTTGGTGATGCTGTTCCTTTGCAGCTTGAGCACCTCCAGGCTGGACAGACCCTGAAAGGTCAGACCCTCCACCTGACGAATACGGTTCCTGTTCAGCTCACTACATGGGTGGACAGACAAACAAAACAATTGTGGCAACTGATCATGGGAAGAAAAAAAAAAAATAAAAATCAGTACTTAATCATACTTTGTAAGCTCTGTCAAAATATTCCCCACATTTCAAAGCAAGAAAACCATACGTTTCTTCCCCTTTCGAAATGTTTTGCCCTCATTCTACATTAGTGTCCGTCACGCTGAAGTCAAAACCAAAGGATCCTGTAGCCTGCATGCTTCAGTTGGAGCATTTTGTCGTTAACAAACCCCCAGCTTAACAGGCATTCCTCAGCGGTGTCCTTTCCGGCTGTGGCATGAGGCCAGCGCTGTATACCCCCAGCCTTTAACTTACAAACAAGGGCTAAGTTATGACCCTATGAAGTTACATGACAAGAAGGTATAAGATGTTAACCACTGGTGTCTTTTATTTTGCATACGAGACCTGAGACATCTCTTCGTGTCACGCTGAACCTATTCAGTTGGTACGCGTGTGTGTGTGTGTGTGTAGGCTGTAAAAGCCCTCAGGTTGGCAAAGATAAACGTCCTCATAGTTCTTTTGAGTCTGATGCGCATCACCACTAGCAGGTGTAGATACAGTGTCACTCGGGCTACCTGTTCCAACAATAGGCACCACCTGGGGGAAACTACCGGAGCCGCGGGGGAGGGAAGAGTCCCATTACGAGAGTCCGTCCCCTCTCCAGAATGGGGGCGTCGAGCTACAAATTGGTTAAAACCTCTCTGTTACGCTGGAGGGAGGTTTGACAAAGATAATGGAGCCCGGTGTGGGGAATAAACGAACCACTTTGGGGATGTGGAAGAAGGCAATAAATCAGCGGTAATATGGCTTTGGTGTTTACCGAGTCAGACCGTATCCGTCCCTTGAGGTATAGCTCACACTAATGGCGTTCCCGATGTCAAACACGCAGGGCTCGATCAACACGCAAAACAAACTCCTCTTCATTTAAACTCACTGTCTGAAAAGGCTTCAACTGGGAGACTCGTTCGTTTTCAGCCGAAGCCGAAATGTCAAAAACGTATTGTTTTTGCAAGTTGAACTGTTCCGACAGATCAAAACACAACCCTGACGGTGAAATCCAAGCGGTACTCACAGCTGGGTGAGCCTCGGGAGCTGGAAGGCTTTCACGGGGATCTGGCTGATGCGGTTTCGGCTCAGTCTCAGGAGCTGCAGAGTCGAGCCGAGATGGTCCAGAGCTCCGAGCTCCAGCGCGCTGATCTTGTTGTTGCTCAGGTACCTGGATACAGAAACGGCACATTTATTTCAGAAACCAGTTTAAAAAAAAAAAAAAAATTAAAAAAAAAAAAAAAAAAAAATGCTGAGTCATGTGCCACCGTTAAATACAGAGATTGTACTCACAGGTCTTTGATTTGGAGGCCTGCAGGAAAGCAGTGCCCTCGGAGCTCAGTGAGGTCATTGTTGCTCAGGTCCAGGGTTTCCACTGAAGATAGCTCTCTGGTTCGCCGGCCGTCTATACTGCGGATCCTATTATGATGTCTGGAAAATGAAAAAAAAACACATTAAAAAAGGCATTTAGGTGTGGCTGACTACAGTAGCTCCACCCCACGAAGCATCCACCATCTCGAAATACATCACCCTGCTCAACTTCAGTTTCCCTTTTGTCATCACTCACAGAAGACACTCCAAATCCCCCCCCCCCCCTTCTCTAAACCCACTCTCAGGCACAAAGAGAGCCGAGTACACAGAACAAAGTGGTCTTCATCTGCCACAAAATGTGTACTTTGAGAGCTTCCAAACAGAGGCGGGCCTTCTTTAAACAATTCCAAGGACACCCGTGCTTCTCCACAGAGCTTAGACGCAAAACCTGTGAGATAGATGAGGCCTCGGTGATCAACCAGAGGCACTTGAAGAAGGATTTCGGACTACTTCAGTGTGTGATGGAATGGGGAGATGGCTGCGTTACATTAAGCCCCAGCTCGGTTTTGGCCTCCTGTCATACAAAGAAGATGAGGAGGAAAAAGTAAAAGACACAACCCGAGTCATTACCCTTCAACTTGGAGGACAAGAGGATTCTGGGAAGACACAAAACATCAGGTGTCATAGGAGCTCAAGGAAGGAACCCAATCACAGCCCTGCTCTACTGCAAACACACACACAGACAAATGCATACAGTAGATATAGAATTAGGTGAAGCAGACACGCGGCTCTACGTGTGTGTGTAGGTATGCGTGTGTTCGTCCGTATGTGTGAGCGTGTTAGGAGCATGCTGGCGGGTGTTATCCGAGCATACATGAAAGCCTTTGCTGGGTGACACATTCGACACATGCCTGGGTGCTAACTAGGAGTGGGAATTTCATTTGGTATCACTTTCATTCACCCAACTGGTCATAAAAAAGCTTTCCATTGATTGAGTGAAAAGGCAAGACAGAGGTAAAATAAAGTCCCTTTAGAAAGCACACACAGAGGACACCAGCCACAGCGTCATGCACTGGGGGTTCTTCTCTTAACCATCCCACTGAAAGCTACATCACCACAGAGTTCTGTTCAAGAGGTCTCCCTTTACAAGCAAATTCTGAATGCAGCATTTTATTCTCTCTTTATTTCCAAAGAAAGGACCCGTGTTCAAGCCCCCGTTTTCCAAAATGGAGCCGACCGAGCCATTAAGGTAAGATGCAGGTAGGAGACACATCAGGCACAGCACCACGCCAGTCACAAACAGACATTTCTCCCCTTAAACACAAGTAGAAATTTCAACTAAATCATAGATCTTAAGATCAATGACAGCATGTTATTATGGCTGCTTAACTTTTTAGGAAGGTGTGTGTGTACGAGTGTGTTTGACAGAAAGAGCACGACAGAGAGCAGGTGTCCCACCAGTCAAACTCGTCAAAACAAGGTCAGTCCCTCCTTCCTGCTTCCTTTCTAGCCACACACACACACACACACACACACACACAGATATTTATTGGTGTCTAAGAGGAGGAGGGGTCGCACCACAGTGGCCCACCTGAATAAACAGTGGCAGAAATGGTTAAGGATGAGCCATGCAAGCACGCCTGGGCGAGCGCACGCACACACACGCGCGCACACACACACACACACACACACACACACACACACACACACACACAC